GTCTTCTGATGTGTAGTGATTAACACTGTTTACAACTCCATACATTGTCTTTAGCACAAGCTGCTGAATTCATTATATCGCTTTGATCTTTAAATACAATCCACCGTGACTTTGTCTGATGCCCTGCATACAGATACTGTCATCACCTCTCTTTTTAACCTGCTGTGCACATGTTGGCTATCTGATGTTGATGCTATCCAGCGTGACCGCACAACCTACAAAGAACCTAAAAGCCATTGGCTGTAACTCTATTTTAGTGCATTGCAGTTGTTGGCTGTATCTTTGCTTGCCAATACCAACCTTCACCCTGCTTTAGATGTGGAATATATTTAGAAGGGCTTTCTCTTTGTACAGGAGGATAAAGTGTGTGTGTGTGTGTGTGAGATATAAGGCTGACGAACCTGCTGCACTGTGTCTTTGTTGTGTATGAAAACAAATTGTCACCCTGCACCACTTCCCCGTGGCGTCAGCCAAAAGTCACCAAGGAAACGGCATGACCGAGCTAATTTTTATCAGCAGCTTCAAAAAAAGATACAATCTTGCACTGCGTGGCTTTGGATATCACTGACAGCTAACAGATTTGTTGTGATAGCCACAATCATTTTGTTCTTTGCTAACACAAGAAATAGTCTAGAGCTGTAACCATGTCTTCTCTTAAATCATCTCCATCAGTGAAGCTAGAAATGAGCCTGGATTTTGCTTTAGGCAACAGCTGACTGTCACTGTGCTGGTTGAAACCCAATAAAGAGAGGGCATGAGTCACTGAGTCCACAGAGACCACATCTAAGAATGACTTGTGTGGTTTTTTTGTTGTTGTTGTTGGCGTCCCATCTACTGTAGAGCTGCAACAATTAGTTAATTGGTTGTTCATCTAGTGATCAATAGAAAAATAATCAGCTATTTTCAGATCATTTAGGTTTTTAAAATTCCGTCCTTTGTGGGCCTTTCCTGCTCTTTTCAGTCTTATTTGTTGGTAAATTGGTTTGTTAATGGAAGAAAATTGGCAGTTTCATCGTTTCAGGTTGAGCTTCAAGAAACCGAGAGAGACATTTTAAAGGCTAGCTGATTAATTCAGAAAATAAATATAACTGTTAGCTGAAAACATGGTCACATGATCGCAGAACTGGTGGTTGTTTTGTCATCATTCTGTACATTTTAGAAATATAGAAACATTATTCCAAGTGAGAATTGATTTCCATTGATCAGATAAGATTTATTTATGAGCTTATGACATTGTTCTGCAACAGATGCAAACATGAATGTTTTGGTTTTTGGAGGCATGAGGACAATCGAAGATGTTTCTGTATATTTAGTGTTTTCACAGATAGACCTTCATTTTGAAATTCCTCTTCCTGATGCTTCCTATCACTTGTCCTCTCACATTGTGTCCCTAGACAGAGCTCCTCCCCATCCTCTGCTCATCCTCCTCCACTCCTCCTTTCCATGACCTTTCTCTCATTCCCTTTTTCTCATGCTTTTCTCTGTTGTCCCGTCCTCTCCCCCTCACAGACGGGCCCTCTACACACAGTCACTTAATATAAACTGCACCGATGCTGACTAAAAGAAAATGGATGAAGAGGCAGGATGTAGAAGGGAGTGGCAGTTCAAGCCCTATAGAGCACAATTTTAGCATTGTCTGTCTGTTGTCTTTTTTGCTAAATGCCTCCTAAAACAATGGCATTATTAACCCGTCCTCTTCTTTCTTTTCTTTTCTTTTCTTTTCTTTTTTTTAAACCAGTAATTCTGGTTGTGGTATCTGGTGCACAAAGCAGAGGAAGTGGTCTTGGTTGAAAGCTGCGGCAGTAAGGGTGGCGAATAGGGAAAGAAGTCGGTTGGGCACAATTTATGAATTAATTTCGCTTGTTAAATCATGAACACGCGCATAACACAGGGAGCTAATGTAGTTAGTGCATGCATAAGAAGACCACCCTCCCCTAGACTAATACCCACACCTCCTCACACATACTCTGTATCATCTTTCACATCCTGCAGAGGTCATAAAACATGGTTTTCCCATTCCCTTTCCCCTCCTCATGTCATTCAAGCTGTACACATGCGCACGCACACACACACACACACACACACATCATTCTGTTAAGGGGCTGTGGGTCCACATTTAATGCAGCCAATTACTTAGGCCCCCCATTCCTCTGGCTGCTGTATTACGTCAGGCTTGGCAGACTGCATTTTTAGCTGGTAGATGCCATTGGCCCTCCCTCTATCTGTGGATTGAGTTACCATGTTACAGCTTTAAGAGTCCAATGGAGGCCTGCCCGAGCTGCCCTTATCCAATCACGACACATCGACCCACTGCATAAAGATACAAGCAACGAGACTGTAAAGTCGTGTCCAGGAAGGTTTTGGCAGAAGATGGCAACAAAGAAACAGAAGCAGGGGCCGTAGAGAGCTTCTTGAGGGTAGCTGAGACCAGCCAAAACATGCACTCATGTCTTGCCACAGATTGTATGGTGGTCATGCATGCCGAGTATAAGGACATTTCTATAGAATGTGGTCTGTGGTGAAGACCTGAGTGCCAAACGTTAATGCTAGTTGTTCTGCAGGGCTCCCAGACACCAGAAATTACAAGGTTGAAAGAGGAAAAACTGTGAGCAGAGTTATGAAAATACATTCAGGATTATTTTCAGATTTTCTCTCTGTGCTCCCTCTCATTATTTCAGCCTTTAATAGCTGTAGAAGACTTAAGGGAGCAGTTTCTCTAAAGGCAGCATATGAAGTTGTTATCTGCACAGCTGAGGCATCAGAACTGCTTGATGACAGCTAGACCCCATGCTGCTAAAGCAACTCTCACAGGGCTTCAGAAAGCCTGGAATGTTTTCACTCAAGTACCAAGTGTTTGCCCACTGGAGTAAACAGTATAAAAGCCAACAGCCTGACAAACAACCCCTCCCCAGGAGAATTCACAGAGCCCTAGGCTTTCACAATGCCATCTGCATTGACATGCTGGTGGCCACTCTTTTCCTTAAACTTGTGCTCCCCATCTCTTGTAATCCTTTCCTCAGCCCAGTTTGCTTTACTCGCATCTCTCAGCAGTCTTGCTTCCTTGGTCTAAGGAGAGACAATCTGTTGTTTCACTTCCTCACCCACTAATCCCATTCATTCAGCTTTTAGGAAGAGTCCGCAGGAGTGTGTCAACAGTGTGTATAGATGCCTGTATGTAAAGGTCGTGGAAAACAACAGCAGCACATGGAAACAAAAGCCCACCATGGTGGCACCAAACTGTTTGACTGACAGAGAAGGTCGGCAAAGAGAAACATTCAATTTCATCTTTGCAGTTTTTCACTTTGATGTACTTTTCAATTTATAGAATGAATTACCAGCAAACATCAACATTATAAAGGGAAAATGGATGTGAGGTTTTGCGCTGTTCTGTGTGTAACTGCTGCTTGCTCACAGTGTACTTGAAGGTAATTGCAATCCATTATGGCTCCAGTTTGTGCATTATTACCTGTGTCCTTCCTCATGTCATAACAGCAGAAGATGTAATGAGCTGACGACGTATTCTTTCCTGTGCTACCAGCCTTGAATGCAAACTAGGTCGGTGTCCTTAATGAGGGGAAAAGCACATATTTTTTTCCATTAATGTACAGACTTGATAATTAATTGAATTAGAGTTAGTTGAGATTAAATAGCACAATTGAAAGCTTCATAGGGGTATTTTGTGGTAAAACCTTTCCCTTAGTCTGCATATGTAAACTTTACTGAGCTTTTGTATTTTCTAACTGAACCCTGAATCATGATGTGCCAATATATTGTATTTGCACTATATTCCTGTGATCTGACTATTGGTTTCTTATCTTTGTAGGGATATCAAACGTCTGTCTGACAATAGGTTGTTGACGAGCATACAGACCTTTTTCAAACACCCTCACTGACCCCGCAGTATCAGTATCGAATGATTTGATTAAACGGTGACTGAGCAAACTGACGTCTCTGTCTGGGCAATGACTCACTAAGAGCATAGAGAGACTCAGAGTGAGACTGAGAATAAGCTGGAGAAACAGTGAAGAAGTATGGGGGGAGAAAAAAAGACACAGATCGGAAAAGCCCCCCCCAAAAAAAATCGCGAGAAAAACACAACAACACGCGGGACAAATCAAAAAAGACAAAAAAAAAAAACTTCAGGCTTATTCACGTCATCTCAACTATCACAGTCTGCTAACAAGACTGTTAAATTTTACACTTGATCATAAAGGAACATGTGCACAGTGTGGGGTACATAAATAGCCGGTATTTTAAACACCGTGTAAAGTTATGAGCCTTTGAGCTAGCCGCTTAACTTGCATGGCTAATTTGTGAATGTATCCCAGTCGCTGATGAATCGCATTAATACATGAGAACAATGGTTTTAACAGAGCTACCACTATGTCTGTGAATATTCGGTTTTACTGACCACTTTGATTTGCAATTCAAATAGAGCTTCAGCACATTGCTGAGCTGCTCGCATACAGACGAGAACCAGGTGATCTGCAAAACAGATGCTTTGAGTTCCCTCAATTCCCTGTGGTTTTCACCTTCCCCTTGAAGTGAGACACATACACCATGAGACTACAGGTCAGTCGCTATTGTTGGTGATCCCCTGCAGAGCAAAAGCCTGGAAGCAATGCAGGGTTTTGGGTGCCTTGCGTCTGCTTTAAAGGGATCACGGTGTGACTCTGGAACAAAGAGGGCGGTATGAACCTGATATTCCCTCAGCGTCACACAAACAGCCACGTCTTTCACACATTCAGTCCTCTCCCCCCTCCTCTCTCTTTGACTTCACCGTCTCTGCAATAATGTGCTGGTGCCCCTTTTCAATCAAGTGTGACTTCCAGCTGGGAAGGGATATACTTGGTTGGGTTATCAGTAGAGTGTTATACAGTGTTCTACCATACAGCAATACAGCAATATAAATGCTCCGTTCTTTGCTTATTTTTCTTTACAGCTTTTCAGTTTACATATTGATCACTGTAACTTCTCCATCTTTTTCTGCCTTCTCTTAGATGTAAAGAGGGACTGGTCAGACCATGCTCTCTGGTGGGAGAAGAAGAAAACATGGCTGTTAAAAACCCACTGGACGTTGGATAAGTACGGCATCCAAGCTGACGCCAGGCTGCTCTTTACGCCGCAGCACAAACTGCTACGGCTCCAGCTCCCCAACATGAAGCACATGAAAGTCAAGGTCAACTTCTCTGACAGGGTCTTCAAGGCTGTGTCGGACATCTGCAAAACTTTCAGTGAGTGAACGATCGACTCCTTTTCAGAGGAATAGAATGAATAGTTTTATTTTAAGTGGACATGTGAAAAGTTCTCATGAAGCCAATGTGAGATGAGGTGTTGTTGGCAAGTAGTTATGTATTTGAAATTGTTTCACTTGCAAAATGGGGCATGCAGTTTACTTATGCACACCCTGTTTAACTGGAAACTTCCTGTGCTGATAGTATTTTTGGAAAAGGTCTAAAATGCTCGACATCAAACATAGCTAATCATGCCCTTCCTCCCTCTTTGTTTTTATCCCTGGCAATTTGTTGTGTTTATTAAACACAGTCTAAGCTTACAGAGCCAAAGTGGTGTCTCCTGACTTTCAGCCCAATCTAAAGTCATGTCCTTGAAACCAGGGCTCCAATCAGTCTCACAATAATGTTTCGTAAACAGAGATTATTTATCTGTCTCAGAAACAAAGGTGTGCAACAAGGTACACAGAAATGACTCCTACTGTTGGTCACAGTCTCCTTCTTATAACATCAGTTCTAATTTAAGTGTCCTCCATGGCGTAACTAATGCTTAAGGGTCACACGCACACACTATAGATATCTGCTGATCTGCCAAAGATGACTGAGGTCACATGCTGGACTCCAACAACCCCTGACCTACTAACATCCACTTTTCTTCAGCTCAGATCTCAACCCTTGCCCCTGCCTCTCAATCACTATCTACAGTACAGTTTGCAGGTTTGACAAAACTCTCACGCACGTGTATCCTTAGACAGGATCATAGCACACCTGTCGTGTCCTGGTCACTGAACTGTGTTCGGCAAGTAGGATCAGGGGCTCCAGTGACAGGGTCTCCTGTTGGTATCGCTTGACTTGAGCTTTTAGTTTGGTTTCTGCAGAGCATTTTATTTAGTGTAAATATACAAAGAAGCTTTTTTTGAAAATACGGGGCAGAGACATCTGTTATATTCACATTTACATAAGAATACATTTTAGAAAAACTTATTTTAGCTGACTTTGCAGGTTGCAAGATTTTATTTTCAAAAATAGAGAGTGGGGATGTTTTTTTTCCTTTTGCTGTAGATGTATGACAGCTTACTAAGCTGACTTACAGTTGCAGTGACCTGGAAGCATTTTTTGTTATTTGGGCAGGTTTCAATTTGACAGTTTCCTCTGCATAGTTTCTCCTGCCTGCCTGTGAGCTGCATAGTGAATACGAGGGGACAGGAAGAGTGGAGGCCTGTCCAGCTGGCCTTTGTTTCAGACAGCAGAAAGGGAGGAGCAGGGATAGTGGAAGACAGAAACCAGAAACCAGATTTGATTCTTCTTTTTTTTTCCAGTGATGATGAGCTTGGTTTTAAGACCAGATCTAGTTCTCGTGTTTAGTTCTTCAGTCATTGGGCTACTTGTGCAAGTCTGCAAAACAGAAAGAGAAAACAGTTTTACAACTACCTCATCCAACAGTCTTTTACTTTGCAGTATTAACAAACATTATTCTTTACTCCAAACTAATGTTTTGTCTGGTTTTTAGTCTCGTTAGAGCAATTAAATTCTGTCAGTGAACATCCAGCATAAGAAATCAACATAACACTCTCATTGTCATTACATACTTCTCCCATGTTCAAGGCAGCTTGGTCTTGACAAATACACTCCATCTGGTAAGACTGGAAAAGAGAAGAGGGCTCAGCAAAAGGCTGATGTACTGTAATACACAAAAATCACTCAGTTCCACTCCTGTTTTGACCTTACATCCTGTCCTGCACTGCTTAGTTGATAGGAAAAAGAGGCATTCGGGATTTTCCACAATTAGTTTAAAGATAACAATTTTGAACTCTGTAAACAATTCAGAGTTCTCCAAAATTATATTTTTTCCACTTTTTGTAATGTCTTCTGTTTTGTGAAGAAATGCAACTACAATGCTACCGGGAAAACTGCTGTCACAATTTCCTGGCCCAATTCACACCAAAAGATACTCAGCTTAAAGTTTTAGAGAACGGAGGAAATTGTCGAATCTTCATTTGTTTGATGATGCAACCAATAACTTCGGTATATTGTGTAATTAAAGTTCAGACAAGTCATGAAATCCAACTCACTCCCCAATCCTGATAGATCAGCTAATGTCATCCCACAGTAGGGTGTACTGTTGTTAGCTGCCTTTCCTGCAAGCTGCTTTGCACCCCACCAAAATTCCAGCTCCTCCTTTTGCTCACTGTGCCATCTTCACAACCTGGTTTCTCATATTGACTAAATATATATTCAGCGCACCCACACACACACACACACACCCTCCCTCTAACACCATTTGTTCTGTGAGCTAGCAGACAGAATGTACTCTTCATAACTGACTAACACATGACTGAGGACATTGGAGCCTGAGGTGGTGCAAATCTGCTGCCTCCCTTAGAAAAGCGTCATTTCAGACTAACAACAACAGACTAACAACTGTGTAAGCTCTTTTAAACTACTGTGTGCTTGAAAACCAACACAGAGCGTTTTCTATGGAATGGCTAATAGGCAGCACCAGTAATGAAATGTTACAGTGAGCCATTAAATAATATCTGGCAAAACAGACTCATCAGTAATTTGTCAGTAGCACCTCACACGAAGAGTGACTTTGAAGCAGACATCTGTAATTTTTTGGTCCCACCACTTTGTCCTCAAGAAACCTTTCTGATTTTTGTATGGACCTTAGCTCTGTCGTTTTGGTCCAGCAGAGTTATGACCCATCAACCTGTGGCCTGCTTGACTGGGCCCAAATGTGCTCTCAACTGTTGTCATAACACAGGAGTACTGTGGTTTGGCCTCAGCTCCATCTCCTAAATGTAAGTGCATCATTATCCTTTCTGAGTTGCCTTTTAGCACATATTTAGCCTTGTGTCTGACAGAGAAAGAGAACTGTCACTCTTCCCAAGCCACTAAGGCCGTTTGGAATAGATTGTCAAAGCCAGAGTGAAAAATAGTACAAGAGACTTGTGCCATTTTAAGAACTGAATGAACTCGTAGTATGATTTGACTTAATATAAACACCAAAAGTTTATCATTCCTTTATGTGTAATCAGCTCAATTCTTAAAACATATAATGCAAATAGTGTGTATGTGAGTCTTTAGACCTGTGACTCAACTGCAACATCTAGCTTCCATGTGTGGTGACAGCAGAGCCTGTTCTGAAACGCATGTGAGCTTGGCTTGGAGCTGCTTGAACCAGTTCTCCACTCCACCTGTTACAGGTGCAGGTTTGAAGTACCCTTCAGCGCTCAGTAGATCTTCTGAGCTGAAGGACTATCCTCGCCACTTGTAGTCCTTTCCACTGGGAAAGGTTTTCCATATTTTATATGGAGGACTGCTACAGCACCAGACTGGTAGCATGTGAAGCAAAGGGCCCGGCTTGGTGGTGAGCAGCTAAAAAGAACAGAACTAAAAAAAAAATAAAAAAAAACGAGTCGCCAAATATCCTAGGCCTGTTGTTAACATACCTGGGCAGCCCGCCCAAGTAAAGCCTATATGTGGGAACTAGACCACCTATTCTTAACATTTAGGAGTATGCAAGGGAACCACAGGAACCAGATGATTCTTTTGTAATTTTTTGCCCATGTAGGTCTATATCAGTTTATACGGCAAACTTAAGTGCTGTAAAATTAGCCTGTGATGATGTTTGTGATTCTTCTGCGGCTGGTCTTACTCACTGCAGTGAATCATCTGTTCCAAAGAGTAAATCTTGCAAGCGCTGCTGGCTCCCAGTCAATCATTTTCCTCTGGCTTCAGGCCTGGTTACTGCCACAAGTCTGCAGGACAGAAGATTGGGATCTTATTGTCTAGGTGTCATTTCTGCTAATGAAAATCCACCAAGCCTTTGTAAGCATTCTGACCATCACCCTCCTCCTCCTCTTTCCTCCTCCTGACACCAGCCAAAAGTGGTGAGCGTAGGAGTATGAATATGTCAGCAAAAAATTAACTACAACACTTGCCCGGGATGAGAATTGGCATTTCCAAGACCATGATTGTCAGCCAGAAAAGGGTGTACTGCCTGCTCTGAGTTAAGAGTGAAATATTTCTTTAAATGGAGGCATTTAGCTGTGTTGAAGCCTGGTTGCCAAGTACGAGGAGAGCTGAGCAGAAGATCAGCAGGGTGATTGATGTAGTTTCAACAGTTATGGAGATAATCTACATTCCTACCACCTATGGCCACTAACTGTGGTGGGTAGTGACCTAAAGAATGTAATCATGCATACGAGCAGCATAAATGATCTCCTGAGTAGATAATTTTTCTGGATGTCGGTGCATTTTAGTGGAACAAATTTGCACGTTATTAAGCAGCCACAGATTTTTCCAGAAATCAGATACACTGCTGCATACGTGTACATGTTTATAGTTCTTAATTAAATGAAGTTTTTGAGCTGTCTGGTTTTGACAACAAACTTAAAGTAGTGTAAACAATTGAAAAACATGGCATTAACTCATTTCATTGAAATAATAGAGATCGATTACATCAGATGCATTATCTCCCCCAGGGTTTGTCATGCTAATATTTATAATATGGAAAAGTTCCCAGTGTTGATGATAGGCTCATAACAATTAAACAGAGTTAGGTTGTAATAAAATGCCACATGGTTCTGCAGTGTCTCACAAAAAGACACAGTCCTATCCATCTACTTGCCGTTTGATACACACTTTACTGTGTATATTTGCCTCCTTGGGGGCTAAAGCGCAGCAGCAGGCCTGGAACTCACATGGCTGTATAAGGGCACGGGGACTGTGCTCGTCTGCTACAGCAGAGTGAGAATGGGGGAGGAGGGAGGCAGAGAAAGGGTGAGCTCCCATCTGGTAGTTCTTAAAACTCCTGGAATGCTTTTGCTTTAGTTACACAAACCAAACAAGCTTGCACACCAAGCCAAGACGTTCTCTCAACCCTTCTGCCTGTGCTTTCCACAACACCTTCTTCAGTTACTTGAAAAAAAAATGATTTGATTCAATAGATATAAGAAAATGGATAGCTATGCACTTGATTACATAAAAATATGAAATATTGCTCTCAAGTATCTGCGTGCTCGTCAGTTCATATGGAATCCTCGAGAAAACCAAGTCCAGCTGAGGGTCCAGATGTGCATTGCTTCTAGACGAGCTCCATCTATTCTAGTCCTGACACATTCTGGCCGTCTCACCGCCTATATCAGAACCGCCCCAAGCCATCCTAAAACATCATTGCTGCTGCTGCTGAGTGATGGTTCCCTGGCCTCCAGGCCCAAGGGAAGGAGGGAAAAGAGAGAGAAGCCAGGGAATAAAGACTGCTCTGTTTTAGTCATTATATTCAGTATGGCGGGTGTCTTACTGTCCGAGTTGGATCTTGCACACTTCTCTTCCATTTGCATACATGCAGTTACAGTTTGGTTCTTTTCATCTTTATTACCTGTTTGTCGTGAAGAGTTTTGGGAGGGTTTTTGGCGGGCAGGGGGGTAAAAGTAACGCTACCTTACTATTCTCCAATGTCGGCTGAATTGTGTTATTAATGTGTGTTGAAGGAATTGTCTAAGGAAGAGGAGTAGGAGGGCGATGGAGGATGTCTGCTCAGTCTCAGCTGGGGATTAAAGTTAAAGCAAGATTTGTTAGAGCCCTGAGAAAAGGGATTTACAGTATTCCACCCTTTATGTGCACAGCTGTCTGCATCTGTTTCCTTTTGCTTTTTTGTCCTTCTTCTCCCCCCATCTGCCTCTCACCTTTTTTTTTAGATTTGGGTTGGTTTAGTGTCCCTATTTTCACCTACTATACAGCTTAAAGTCATTGAGGTCATGTGGTTTTATTTCAAGCCTATAGTTAAAAAAACACAAATTACTGTATGGTTTTGGGGACTCTATGACATCCAAGCCTGTCTGTCTTTGTGTCCAAATGGACTTGGCTTTGTTGCTAGTCAAGGTTTATGCTAATGTGACATTGAATGGATCTTCTTAATGTTTCTCCCCAAAAGATATCCGCCACCCAGAGGAGTTATCTCTACTGCGCAAGCCCCGTGATCCCAAAAAGAAGAAGAAAAAGTTGGAGGAGACGGAAGAAGATGATCTGGAACTGGAGGGTCCGATGTTAACACCTGGATCAGGTGAGCTGCTTCTATGGCTCGTTAACAATGTTTCCTAAAGAACTCCAACTGAGTTTGTTAACATAGGAACAAAAATCTTTCTTGATGAAGAAAGCCAGGGTATTTTTGAGTTCATATTCCCAACCCATGAGTTGAAAGTTTGTATAAACCTAACCATTTAGTTTTTTTTAGATTCTGATCTGTTTTTAGGTAATCAGGAAGAATTTTCACTTTCTTTTGTTGTGAAAAACAATTGCTCCTATTTTCCTGGGACAGCAGGTTGTATGGCAGGTTGTGCTGGCCCCATGAAGCTTCTTAGATTCTTTTTTCTATTTCATGCACTTGCGATTTAAAAAAAAAAAAAAAACACTACCCAAAACCCAAAACACTAAGATGACTCGAGTTTGGTGCGCCCTGCTTCTCGTGACCAAATATGAATGTGTGAGTTTGAGGCCTGCATGGGATCTACAGCCCTCGCTCTCAATTCCTTGGCAGGGAGGACTAAAAATGGCTGAGATTCCACACATAGTTGGTCACGCTGCCATTTTAAACCCAAACCAGGCTACAGGAGTGCAGTCATACTGACCCTCCTCCCTCCTGATGGGAGACTTACAACCATCTGAGCAGGGAGGAGCAGAACAAAACAGACTGCTGTCACAGAGTTAGCATTAAGCAGAACTGCTAACACCATCAGACAGGGTGAATGAGACTCTTTGTGCGATTAGTCTTTTCTGCTCTGCAGAGTCAGCTCAATGTGCACTGAATGACTATATAGACTCACCAGTTGCAGGGATAGCAGCCTGAACACTCATTGTGAAAAACAAATTCTCCTGAAATACAGATTTGGATCTAGGGTTGTCAAAAAAATTGATACTCGGATACTATTTGATACTAAAAATGGCTCTCAGATTAGACACTCAACCCGGCAGTGCTGTCTTTGCCTCCTCTAGTTGACATAGACCTTCAAAAAGCACTGCTGCAGATAGGCAGGCACACAGCCCCTCCCCTCACTAGTTGAACACATGAACAGTAAGTTCAACACTGGACAACACTTCAAGGAATTTCAAGACATTTTAAACGGTTATCAGAAACATTAACCTGGCTACTGGACACATAAAAGTTTGCTGTTTAACTATTAGCATTTACCTGGTAGCTACATTAGCCTGCTGTTAAGTTATCATTAAGATGCTAATGATGATGCTAATGGTGGAACTAGGCAGGAATCGTTATCAGTACCTGCCCGACATTAATAGGCTGTGTAAATTGTGTTAGACTAACACAATTATTTGTGTCTAAAAAGTGTGTTGCTCTACCCCTAACAGTACGATTTGATCAACAATGAAAAAATGGTGCCAACTCACCAGACGCACAGCACTACCTCAGACAACCTCAAATTTTGCACTGCTTAAAATTATATAAGATAGTGTTAAATATGTAAAATAACATTGATGTTATTGTTGGTTTAGTTCTTATCTTGTAGAAAAGATTCATGTGTCTTATTTTATTTTTCTCCCATGGTACTAAGAATGCTATTGAGCATTACTTTGTATCAAGTTTAAAATTCTAGTATCATTACAAACCTATGTGGATCAGAGTGAATGGTGTATTTATTCAATCATATATTTAAACGTAATGAGTGATTGAAACTGCAAAAAGCAGTTACTTCCCAACACATCGATCACGCCCAGAGTTGCATCACCACATTTTAAGGGGTGTGCTACACACTCCTCTACGCCTTTGGTTTAGATACATTTTGTTCCCAGTGGGTAAATGTGGTCAGAGTATTAGGTGGTGAGGAGAAACAGAGTTTCAGTAGGAATGTGGAGAATCTGTTTACTGTCACCAGTCTCCTTGTGTGAGAGTGTGTGTGTGTGTGTATGTGAGCGCACACACACACATCAGATCGCAGATCACATGCTACAGTCAAAGTACATTTCATGGCCAAGTTGTAAGATGTTATTCCGTCCCCTCGTGAGGAAGGGCTGGCCTCTTGGCCCAGATCTCCTGATAGAAATCACAAGGCTTTGAAAAGATGCAATCAGTACCACAGAACCACCTTCATCACATTTAGGACTGCAATACTTAGTTAATCAATTATTCAATCTACAGGAAATTAATTTGCAACAGTTTTATTAATCCATTCAAGTCTTTTCACAATCCACCTTTTTAAATGTGATTATTATATTTTCTCAATAAGCTGATAAAACAACACATTTGATTATAATACCATTCATAAGAACTTGTGACAGTTATTTTAACACTTTTCTGAAGTATTTGAGTCTGATTGAATGTTTTGGAGATACTCAAGCTTTAAACAGATCATTTTGCCTTTTTCTCAATGTCTTTTTAACTGATTTATTACTGACGAGAACGGTAAAAGAAATACATACAAGAAATGTGTGTCTATCGAGTACCTAAACACATGCAAAATAGCCTATGTGTACTGTACAGTGAGCTCCACACTGATCTCGGAAGCAAATGAAATGGGTGGATATCTAAACAACAAGTCCATAATGAGTACATGACCATTTATTTCCACTTGTAGACTGGCAATCTTTTTCCAAAACCTCAATCTCTATATTTAAAATTACTATTTAGGAAATGTCTCCACACTCGTTTGACCTGCCTCACGTAATTGGTCATTTTTGGTAGAAAAACCATGTTACTCATCCTCAGCTGTTGTTGTTACACGAACATAGACACGACGCTGCACGTGATGCCAGTTCAGCAGCTCCCAGTGGAGCGGCTACGCCTTGGCATGCCCACTGTTTGTAATCGTCTGTCTTGTCAGTGTTGAGAATGACAGACCTCGAACAGCCTTTACTTTGTAAAAATGTGCTGCACTTTATACATGCAAGGCTGGGTCATTCTGACCAACGCCTTGCCTGGGTTTTCAATCAGTCATGCTGCGTTGGATGGTTATGAATGGGTGGATGGAAACTGCAGAACTTCACTAGTCATGCCAGGGCGATCTCCCTCTGTGAAGAGGGTAAACTGAGTCATCCACTCTGAGGCTAGCAGTTGGCAGTGTCTGTGGAAATGCCAAAGATATACCCCATTCTTGTATTCCTCAACTGTTGTCTTTTTTCTTCTGTTTTCTTCTATGCCTGTACAGTTTTCTGTGTCTTAAATCTGTCCACTTGAGTTGATTTCTACCCGTTTCCTTCCTTCCCTCTACATTTTCCTGTCTTTCTTTTTCTTACTCTTTCTCTTTTCATCCTAGCCTCTGAGATAATATACATCGGACCTGTGAAAGGTAAGCTTTCCCCTTCCTCTGTCCTTTCTTTTCAGCACTGCTTCCTCAGCATTGCCTCCTCATTCCTCTCTACACCCCACAGCTGGTGTGTTAAGGTCACATGACATATGTAGCATTTGGGACTAGCAACCGAGTCACCTGACTGGTCCTCCTAAGGAAGTCAGCTGATTCGGGTAGTCTCATGACAAAGGCTTTGCGCCCTTTTAGCATTTAGCTCATTGCTCACTTTTCTTAAAGCTACTCCAGCGGCCTGCTCACTGTGCCTGCAGGATAGCCAATCACTTGCTTGAGTATGCAGATGTGAGATGGTTGTTATCGGGCAAGTTATATGTATTTGTGTTTTTAGCCATAAACTTGTGTTCAGAATTAAAATCACATGCTTATAATCCTATCTGCATGCTTCAAATAGCAGCCCACACAGGAGCGCTGTAAAAACCAAATCCATGACAGTTCATTTATTGACCACCATCCCATGGTTTACTCGTAGTCTCAACAGCTGATGGTAGTCCTGCTCCTTCCATCTAAGCCCTCTATGAATCTCTAGTGTGGGAGTATTAGCGAGTAAAGTCATGTTAGCATTCTTTGTTTTTGCACCAGCATTGGAGATTCAATAAACAGGATGGAGGAGGCTCCTTTGTGTTATTAATGGAACTCCAGCTTTCAATTTATACACACTTTCCCTAGATATTTGGCATTCCCCAGGGGACCCTACGGGTGATAGGATAAGTCTTCTTGACCTGATGAACTCTGCATTGGGAGGAAAACCTTGAAAGAACCACTGATCATCCTCCCCCACAAGGAAGGGGAGGCCATAGCCAGCAACATGTTCTCATGACCTCAGTTTGCAAACATAAACATCCACATGCACACTCACATACAGAAACCAAGCCCACTTCCTGATTTCAGAAGGGGTTTAATGGTTTAGCCAGTGTTGCTTGACCCTACAGAGGGAGAGTTGGAATGGAGGGGAATGAAAATACTTTGGAACTTGGACTAACAGGAAATGCAAATAACTTCACTTTGGGGGCTTTTGTTTGTAGGCAGACTCCCAAATTAAAACACCGCAGACCAAATATACATATAACTCAGCATTTAAGTTGCTTAGACACTTAGTTTATCAAAGGTTTTTTTGTTTAGTTATATTCCTTTAACACGTTTAAAATATATTCAATGTATTCTCCTCCAATATTTTTGTACTCTCTCTCTTCCTTGTGGGTAAATTGTGCTGTAGTATGCTGTGTGCAGTGCATTCCTGCTGGTTTTTCTTTTGGTCTGGTAGTAAATGGGTAAACCTGATCATGTTGTGCATCATCTGCATGCTGATCAACATCTACCCCACCATCAGCAGGAGGGTGGTGTTGAAGTCACTCATCTGCAAAGTTTGTGCTGGTAGTCACATGGTGTTTTTGACCACTAACTGGTCAGGCTAGGCTGCATTTGCGTGTGCTGAGAAGTCTTCACTCTTCCCCCTCAATGCTGTGTTAGTGACTTATGTGTACTTAACTTGATTGTGAGTGTCAGTATTTGGAAGTTTTTTGTGTTAGGTTTGTATTTCTGGCTCCGCAAGGGAATAACTGATGGTTATCTTTTTTCAGGGAGCATCTACTCTAGTCCAGGCTTATACAGTAAGACCATGACCCCCACCTATGACTCAAGGGACGGCAGCCCTTTGTCACCAACATCCGCCTGGTTCGGAGACAGTCCCCTGTCAGAGGGCAATCCCAGCATCCTTGCTGTGAGCCAGCCAATCTCCTCACCAGACATTCTGGTCAAACTGTACAAGCCCCAGTCCCTGCTGGACAAAGCCAAAATCAATCAGGGGTGAGTTAAACTTTGCTTAGTGGTTTAGTTAAAAAAGGTTGTTAACAGACGACATTTACAAGAGACTGCTTTCATGTTGTGTGAAAAAATAACATATTCTAATTAGCTGTAATCACTGTTTGCACAGGTGGCTGGACTCATCCAGGTCTCTCATGGAGCAGGATGTAAAGGAGAATGAGGTGCTGCTGCTGAGGTTTAAATATCACAGCTTCTTTGACCTCAATCCAAAGGTAAATCACACAGAAAAAGCACTACAGCACATTGTAGTCAGTTGAGATAATTATTGAGAACCTGCCATGCTGAATAGCTCTGTATCATCATATTCTAAAAGCACCAGATATAAGTTATTATAATCATAAAGTAAGCAGGCATACATCCAGCCATTAGTTGGCACGATTTGGGTAAAAATATTTTTTTAACACTGGCCTGTAGAGCTTACCTTCTATATCTGGTACCGATGACCTGAATGGGGCATTTGAAAGACTAGTTATTTGATACTTTTGTATCATTAATCACATACAACCTTTACCTTTGACATCACTGCATTCAAAGTTGTCCAGTTTGCTCAATAATATGATTTGATGTGCCCACAGTATGATGCCATTCGAGTGAACCAGCTCTATGAACAGGCCAAGTGGGCCATTCTCCTGGAGGAAATTGAATGCACAGAGGAGGAAATGATGATGTTTGCTGCCCTCCAGGTAAGAAGGCTGAGTGTTTGCGTACTGATACAGTTTAAGTTGGCAAAGTACGGAATTTAAAGAAACGCTGACCTTTTTTTATTGGGTGGAAGGCACGCTTTCTTCTCAGCTTCAAGGTAATGAATTGGATAGGATTGCAGCTCAGAGTGAAGCTATAATGCTGAAAGCCCTGTTGCAGCATGCAGGCTAAATCTTGACTATTGTGTATTGTTTCCTATTTAGTTCATACTAATAACAAAGTACTTAGGCTTTTAGATTTAAAGAGAGGTTCTTATTACAGAAGTGTACTCGTCAAACAGTTTGAACCCAAGAATTATTACATGACTCTTGGTAAAACAGAAACACAATTTTGGTCTGGGTGGACTTTAAAGGCACTGGTGGCATTGGATTATTGAGTTTTGAGACAAGTTCAAAGTAGATCAGAAGAAATGACAGTCGCTAGAATGGTTATTGGCTCGAATGGGAGTGATATACAGATTTGAAGCTCTTTTACACCCCTAGGTTTCCTCATGTACCATTGGGGTGGTGTTCCTTCTATTTCTGACCCTCATAAACTGTGGGTGCCAAGACCTGAGGACGCCACCCTGTCTTCACCCTGAGGGTAATTATAGGGCATCTTGGAGCACAGGACCCCATACCTCAGACCACCCACCCCAGAAAGACAAGGTCTTGTAGACCTGTTCACATTCCTTTTCCCACTCTTTCACTCTGAGGTGTTAGGTTTGTTTCGTCTGACCAGTTGTAATTACACTTCACTGGTTTCTTCTTACACTGCACTGGGAGAGATGCTAATCTAAGTTGGGTGTTTGGGCTGGTAGGTAGACTGTTGCTGCCTATCTTTTAGCACTTTAGTAGCTACTACTGCGTTTCAGTCTTGGCTTTTAGCTAAGGTTTCACTGTTGACAGATACTAAAGTCTAAATAAAGAGCAGTGATTGTCCAACTCTGGTATGCAGCTGGCTGGACTTAGCATGCTGTCACCCGGATGTATCACTATGGTAGTTCTCAAATATGAGGTAATCAGTGGTCAAGATTAGTGATTGACCTCATAGTCATGGACTTGGGACACAGGTTGTAGTCAGTACTTCAGCAGATAAAGAAGAAACTCTGATGATCACACAAACAAACAGGAAAATGGGAAACACTCCTTCCCAGAGTTGCATATTTTAAAGATGAGCCAGAGGATTGGACATCATGGCAAGCCCTTTGTCCTACAATATGAAGCCTTAGCCAGCTAAATCCTCACATCTCTATCAAACGCTGCATTGTATCGCTCACTTTCTTGACAGCTGTTCATTCATATATTGGTGGGGGTTGCTGATGGGGTGACATTATAAATACCATTTATCTACAAGCTAAATTTGGTATCTGTGACTCACTGATGGGTTTGTTTGTGTGTGTGTGTGTGTAATAGAGAACAATCTCTTACTTCAGTCTTGCACCAGTCCTACATTCAGTATACACTTGGTAAAAACAATTTCATTGCCCATAACAGCCTGACCTCAGTGAATCTTTACCAGTTACTTTAGCACACTTCTCTTCTTTAGACAACTTTCTTTATCTTCAGCTTCTTCCAAAAAAACGGCATAGCTGGTAAACTCAGTGGTGTATGCTGGCAGCACTTGCTAACATAAATGCCAACACATCTTAAAGTATTTATATGGCAATTATCACAGATTGTTTTTCCTTTTTATAAGATGTAGCTGGAGCGTTTATGCACCGGTAGCACACAGTCTATCTCCACCTCACACTTTCTTTAAATCTCCGTGTCTCAAGTGTTTTATTTTAGACCTGTAAGCTTTAAGGGAATGGAAACTTAAATAATAGATTGCAGGTTTCATGCTTTTAACCAGAGCATCGCTCTTTGTTTCATTCTCAGTACCACATCAACAAGCTGTCAATCATGTCTTCAGACAACCACATGAATAATAGTGAGAAGGAGGTGGATGAAGTGGATGCAGCCCTGTCAGATCTGGAGATTACCTTGGAGGGAGGGAAGACTTCCAACACACTGGTATGAGACAAAACCACTGGTGCTTGAGCGTGCACTGGGCTTGCCTGCATCCTTTTTGTCCAAATGGGCGTCATTATGTGAATTTGTTTTTCCCAATTGTGAAATCTTGGCATCGGTTAGGTGCTTTTGTTTCTACTTGTGACGAAGTCTCCTTTCATCAGCACTCATAAACATGAGAGGAAACGCACAAAGACAATGCAATGCGCTACAGTTTGCTGGAAGTGCAAAATTTCACAGTTATTCAAAAGCTCTGCATATAACAAAGAGCTGGGGGTTCTAAGGCCCCACTGAAAATATGTCTCTACTGTTACAACAGCTTCTTGAAACATGTATTCAGCTTATCAGAGGAAACTGACCTCTGAGATATTACATAAGAAGCCAGCTTACTGTGCTGAGCAATGACATGGAAAGTCAAGTGTGAGGTCATTGTTTTGTGTTTAATCCTTTCCCTTTTTTTTCTTTCCTTTTATTCACATATATGTATGTATGTTAAAGTCTTCCAGGCTTATTTTAACAATAGCTTTCCCCTTTCTCCTAGGGTGACATCACATCTATTCCTGAGCTAGCAGACTATGTTAAAGTCTTCAAGTAAGTCCAGTGCCATGAGTTTAAATGCACCTTTACTATTAGCAAAACCACTAAACACTGCATGTTAGTCTATGCAAGATTACATTTTATCCAAAAGCTGTTGACTATGGCGGGACCATTCTCTGGCCAAGTAAGCCTGTTGCCTGTTTTTCTTATCTCTTATGAGCTTAAAAGGCAACCTGAAAACTCAGCCTGCAAATATTCTTTGGCAAAAAATCTAGAGTGATTATAGTTGGACCAAGCTTTCAAATCATATTCATTTTTGGCTTGAAGCCTTTGCTGACAGGCAGGTGGCCCCTTGGGTGGTTGTCTCATAAAATGTATATGCTGGGGGGTATGATATCAAGAGGCATTTCCTCTTTTAATGGTTTTCCACAGTGCTGGCTTCTTTCCTATTCATCTCGCTGACTTTGCACTTGAGAAGCTCTACTTCTTTTTCTCCCCCTCCTTTGTACTTATGATCTCCCCTCCCCCGCTGTTCCTCCTCACCACCAATAAAGAAAATGGTTGTTTTTTTCCTTTTTCTTGTTTTCTCCCACCTGAACTCTGACATGTCTTCCGCTTTTTTCTCTCTCTAGACCCAAGAAACTGACGTTGAAGGGCTACAAGCAGTACTGGTGCACATTCAAGGATATCACAATTTCCTGTTACAAGAGTAAAGAGGAGGCACATGGGACACCTTCCCATCAAATGAATCTTAGAGGTGCAGAGACATCCCTAGTTGCATAAGAGTACACACACACACACACACACACACAAAAACCTCAATGTCATGCCCAGTTATTTTTTTCCCTGCAAATAAAAAAATGTGAGGTTGCATGTCTAAAGAACAGGCTCTGACACTTGACCTCTTTTTCCTGTCTGCACCATGCTTTTCTATTTGTAGGCTGTGAGGTAACGCCAGATGTTAACATCTCTGGTCAGAAATTCAACATCAAGTTGCTAATCCCTGTGGCTGATGGCATGAATGAGATCTGGCTTCGGTGTGACACGGTGAGGCTGAAGTTGGTGCACCCTTTAATACGCTGTCTTATTCCTTTTTAGAGTTGGTTAATTATGACTTTTCATCTCCAGGAGAAACAGTACGCCCACTGGATGGCTGCATGCCGCTTGGCCTCCAAGGGGAAGACCATGGCGGATAGCTCATACAACCTGGAGGTCCAGAACATTCTGTCCTTCCTTAAGATGCAGCACATGAACCCTGACCTACCCATTGAACCAGTTGCTACTGATATCAACCCAGAATGCCTGGTGTCTCCGCGCTACCTGAAGAAGTACAAGAACAAACAGGTAAGCCATGTAGTCCAGGTTAGGATCTGTTTACAGCAATGTGAAGGTTAAAATGGTAGAAATGTTTGGTAAGGGGAAAAAAAGGGTTATCATCTAGTCTAGTGTGTATTTTTAGAAAAGCTGATTACATGGTTGAAAGGTTGAAAAGCATCTGATTCATTCATTCTAACATCTGAGTTGTCTTGCATTTAAATACCTGTTCCTCTCCTCCTCCTCTCTACATTTCTACCCACCACGTTCTCAGCTCTGTGATTGTAGACAAAAGGACATTTTGGTCACAAGCAAACCTCGTTATAATCTGGTGTAGCATTTTATTATTAACGATGAATGTTCTCAAGTGTTATGTAGATTTGTGTGTTTGTGTACCCTGGAACAGCTGAGTACACGGCTGCCATGGTCGGTGATGGGTGAGGGAGGGGGTTCCCTTCTCGTAGCTTATTCACTCAATCTGGATTTGTTCTTATCGTAGTAGGAAAATACAGTGGTGCTAGGAGGCTAGAATGATGTTGGGAGGCTGCTGCTGGTACAGCAGGTGACGACTCAAATATTATCTGAAGCATAACTTTAAGTATCATTGATGTCTGGAAAAAAATGCTCAAAGAAATGAGGGAATAAAGGGGTAAAAATGGACATAGAACAGGAAATGATCTAGGCAGGTTTGAACCAACTGCCTGCCTCAAAACCAGGCAGTTGAAATAGAAATTATTGACACTCTAGGAGAAGTTAGACTTTGTTAGTCTGTGCTGCAAACTTCCTATAGGTTACCACAGTACAAAGCAGTGTTTCTCTTTAATGCTCCTTTCATAGAGGAAATGTGCATGTTAAGAGATCAAACACACAGCAGTACTAAAAGTCAGCAGTTAATCCCGAATTAAAACAGCTCAAATTTAAAGTTTCAGTTCTGTCTTTCTATTTGAGCCTGACTTGCTATCTTCTTAGTTTAGTCAGGAAATCCCTTAAGTATATTTGGGGTCACGCACATGAAATTACTTCCACATCTATAACAAAACCTACTGATAAAAAAATAAAATCAAAGAGTTGATTTAGTGTCAGGTAAAAATGGCATAAATGTGTGTCACTGCCCAACCTACAGTTCACCTGATGTCACTGAGAGACAGAGAAGAGTCCTAGCTCACTTTGGCTCATCTTTACCTGCACTATTTTAGAGTTCTTTACATTTTTTACATGTTTGCTGTATAAATTAATCAGAGCTGCAGTTGTGGCCAGTGACAAAAAAGGGGTGTAGAAATAGATATGGGGTTTTTTTTGTTGGGGGGGGGTTACAGAAAAGCTACTGAAAGAAACACTGTGGCAAAATAATTGCATGGAACTGGGGCTAGCTCAAATAGGAAGGTTTTTTTCCCTTTTTGTTTTTTGAGTATTAGTAGTAATAGCACAGGATGTGTGTCTGTCTGTAGTCCTTTCTGGCACAGATCCAGTCTCGCACTCAAACACAGTCTAATACATGATCTCCCTGGGCATAACATTAAAGCGTAATGGTGTACAATCCCTTGTTCTCACACACACACACACATATGTGTAGTGGGCGTGGGACATCCGGAAATGAGCCATGCTTGGGAATGTTGCGCGGGAAAACTGTCTGGGATAAGCCCATTAACTCTTTAGCCAGCTGCAGCCCCTCCCCACCTCCCTTAAACTGGACTTCCTGTTGCAAGATTTGTCAGAGTCTACTTCTGTGCTGCATCTCCAGCCGGATACACGCACACAGGAGTTTTGCGATTACGTGAGTCAGGGTGGTTTCTGGATAAATGGGTTTATTTTAAACAGAAAATAAAGACCTGCAGCTTGGTGAAGCCCAACACTTTTCACTGCTGCTGTCACACATCGCCATCTTGTGGCTGACGAAGATATTACATAGAAACTGAGTTCAGGGTTTTTTTGGTTTGTTTTTTTTAATGGCTCATTGTGTTTACAAAGAACAGGCAGGCATGATCTGACCTAAAATCTGCAGTTACACTGCCCACTTCCTCTATGTGAAAATGTGTGATTTCCTTGATTGCAGCTGTACTTTCCTTCTCCTGGCTGAACGCTGCATGCCCCTTTAGCTCCACAGCCTTCCTCACCGCTTTCTGTTATTACAGTCATGTCCTGCATTGTTGTTGTTGTTTTTTTTATCTTTCCTCTCTCAACAATGATCTTACTGTCTTCTTCTCTTTGTCCAAACGTTGTATTCCTTCTGTCTGTATGCATCTCCTTCATTCCCATCTATCTTCCCATACCTACCTCTCCTCCTCAGCCAGGCTATATCAGGGACTTGGTAAGTTGTGTCCACTGGCTGCTGTTTTAAGCTTTAGATACTTGCATGATTGTTTGAACTCTGAACAATTTATGTATCTGGGTTATCAAACCTAACAATAACTATAGCAAGTCATAGTGGCCGCCATAGTAGAGTAGATGGTATAGTTTCTGTATGTCACTTGTTATTAACTCTAACAGTGTTCTTTGGGGTGTACAAGATAAGAAAGTAACACATAATTGTATCACGTGAGCATCTGTGTGGTATGGGGCTATAAATATACAGACTGAGTGAAACAAATGGACCATGCAGGTCTTTTGCATGTTTTAGCTCATTTAACACACAGTCCATATGCAGTATTTAACATTAGACCCTTGTGAAAATGTTTTTAGACTGATGAATGGTTTAATGTATTTTATTCTTTCTTTTTTTAATAATATGTTTAGCCTTTAGTTAGTTGCTTATTTTAGTTCATGTATTTCTAATATATGTAAAGCAGAGCCCAGACTGCTGAAGGTAAGTGATCCATCACAGTAAATCTAATTTACGTATTTTATTGTAATGCAGTCCGGCAGAGACCACTAAAGCTTTTCAAGTGCATTAGAGAAGCTGTGATGTTCAGGCAGCTTCACTGCAACCTTTTTAATGTATAAAATGATCAGTCCATGATGGATTACTTATCTTTAGGGGAGTTTAAGTGTGGCTGAATTATATTCTGTGCTCACATTAACTGAAACTACTCATTCTCTAAGTGTACTGACAGAAATGGTAGAATCCTTGTTTTGGGCTATGTGGTCATTTTGACTTTCTGCTCCTGTGCTCATGGTAAGGTTTACGTTCCAGTCTTAAGAATCGTGTAGCACCACTGGAGGGAGGCACACATGTGTGAATACATGCATGCTAATTCACACAGTTCACCCTGAAAGCTTCCTTAAGTTGGCTCATTAACCTCAGTCTGGGCTCTAAAGCAGACTCTGATTCATAATTGTTTTCTAGCTGTACGTAGTAGACATTCACTGTGAACGTTCACTGGTTATTGACACCCTGCTCTGAAAGCTTTATGGGGTTAACCACAGCTTGTTTACACTTTGGGTGTGTGTTAAATTGGTGCATTGGGTTGTTAGAGTGTGGTGTGTGGGATGCATTTGTCTACAGTCATTAGTGTGTCTGTTTGTGAATACTTTAAATGGTGGGAGTAAATAAAAAAATACATGAAAAAAAAGTCATGTGTGTAATGAGTGCGGTTTTGTTTCTGTCAGATTTCAGCCCGGATTCTTGAAGCCCACCAGAATGTGGCCCAAATGAGTCTCATCGAGGCCAAGATGCGCTTTATCCAGGCATGGCAGTCCCTTCCTGAGTTTGGGATCACTCATTTTCTTGCAAAGTATGTTTGTAACAACTGACTAAAGATGTGTCTTTATCCAAAAAAACTCATCATATATACTGACAGTCACATATTTAGTCATTGTATCTACACACTTTCATTCCACAATAGATTCTAACTCTTTTCTTCTTTGCAGGTTCCAGGGTGGAAAGCGGGAGGAGCTGATCGGTATCACTTATAATCGTTTGATCCGGATGGACGCCAGCACCGGAGATGCCATCAAGACGTGGCGCTTTAGTAACATGAAACAGTGGAACGTCAACTGGGAGATCAAGATGGTAGGAAACCCACATAACTGCTTTACCTTTAGTATTACCTTCTTAAAAACATTATTGGAATATGGCAGACACACTGATTCAATCAGATACAAAATTAACACAGTGTTATAAAACAGAAGAGGCAAATTTAGTTTCTTTTTAACCTTCTTGGATTTATTTTGCTGGTTTGTTTAATTGTGTTTGATAATTAAGTGAATAACTTGATCTATTAATCTAGTAAAAAGGGTGGAAGTCAACAGTGAAAGTTCTTTGCATTGCTTGTTGTGATGTTAACTTAGCTGATCACACATATAAAACGACTATGTCAGCCAAAGGACGACTGATGTGACTGATGTGACGTGCTCTGTGTGCACAGGTGACTGTGGAATTTGCAGACGAGCCCAGTCTTTCATTCATCTG